CCTTTGTAACAAGTAATATACATGTAGATACAGGGAAATTTTGCGTCTGTTGCGAAGTTAATTGTGAGGCTTTAATTAATTGGCTGATATATCTAGCAAACTTTTCATCCTGACGTCCCTAAACTTTAAAATGGACTGTTCCAAATGGAAGTTTGACATGTCCATCCAACAAACTGCGTAGAACCACCGAGGATCCTAACGCTAGCTGGATAGCTTCCTCGCTTGAATGAATCCAAAGTCCCTGATACGATTTGAACCCATAGTGGTGAGGGCAAGTGGTTTAAAGTTAACAACCTTAACCACTCAGCCATGGACACCCATTCTGAATTCTGAAGTCCCACAGGTCAAAGGTTTTGAGAAGTTACACTGTAATGGATTTGCTCGGCTTTCACTAATGTTCTCTGAAACTGAGACAAATCTCAATCTCAGTTTCTCTGCATCTTAGAAAAATCTCAGACTTGAGCTTTAAGAATGTTAGGGAAAGCCTGGCCTGATGTTTCCTTGAGGCATTCTTCAGTATAAAATTATAAAGTAGAAATTTGATCAATACCTTTTAAATGTTCTCAGGAAATTGGATTACTTATTTAAGAGCAATTTCCAGACTTTTATTAGACAGTTTAAATGACCTAGAAGGCTTGTTTAAGACATTTTTACACAAGAAATAAGAACATGTTTTACATAAGAAAAAACAAACTACAACCCGACAGATTTCTAAGACATTGACTTCCATTTTCAGAACTGTCCTTTTTTTATTTTAGGATATCAATATGAAATTGTAATGATTTGAAGCCGGCCAAAAAGAACAGTGCCAGGTCAGACTTCATGGATGTGCAGGCTGGCCTCCCTTAGGTGACAAAAACTCACCACTTTTGGTTCTAGCAGCGTAAGGGTTAAAACCTAAGCCTTTCAATTAAGAAAAAGAGAACAATTCTTTTTACAGCACCAGTAACCTTGACCCATTTATTAAAAATGAAATTTTACCCAGTGGAATAGGTCAATGGACAATTGTAAGATATTAGTCAATGTCAATAAACAAGGCAGTCCAACGGACATAATGTGTCATGTTGAAGATAACTGAAATGTGAACTTCCAACATTTTGATGGGCTTGTGTGTCCTTGACCTTGGAGGAAGCAACATGGTTTATTGCGCTCTGCATATCATAATAACTTATATTGATTATCATCTGTGTGAAGTTATTTCAAAATCTTTTCAAGCAGTTTGAAAGATATTGAGAAGACAAAAAATTAATGATCATTAAGTGTGACCTTGACCTTTGGGTAAGTGACCTGGTTGTTGCCCTGTTCAGATATCATCTCAAAATATGGTGATAATTTGTTACAGCAGTTATGAAGTGAACACTTATGTGTACAGACAGACAGGCAGACAGACATGACAAGGGAAACAAAAGGCCAATTCTTTTATTTTCTTTTTGTTGTAGAAAGGGCCAAGTTCCCGTATTCTTTTGTTACCAAATGAATCGCTTTGTGCTCTTTTGTTTTGTTTACACTTTTACTTTTTCGACACTAAAACAGACAGATAGATGAAGGCAATTCCATTAATCCCTTTCCTGCCATGTATCTTACCAAAAAAAGGTAAATTTTTGCAAAAATAGCCCTTACTGCATAAGTCACGCAGTAGAAATATGGTAATAATAAAATTATATACTATAAAATCAGTCATTAATTGCACATTACATGAAAAATCTTGAATCTTTTTAGTTTTCTTAAAATCTTAAAGTACGTTTTCCTCAAGTTTTATTTTCTTGAAATATTTTGGCATCATTTGGAGGCATGAAGCTTTAAAAACATGAAATTAAAATCTAACTTAACACGAATTGGCAAAAAGTATCAAAGCAACAAATCTGTGACAATAATTTTTTCTAGTAACTGTTTTAATAATTCATAGAACATTTTGCAGAAGGTCTTCAAAAATCAATACCAACCAAATATCTATGCTTTTATGTTGAGAAATTAGAAAGTTAAGATTAAAATCACAACTTTAAAGCAGCATGCCTAAAGGTTCATGCTAATTTTTATGAAAATTTTTGAACATGTATTTAAAAGTAAATTATTGTGAAGTGAACAAAAAATGATTTTAAGCATTGCAAATGGCGCTTCTATGTTGAGAAATAAGAAAGTGTACATTTTAAGACATGGGTTTCATATCATATCTTTAAAGCTACCAAAAATTGCTATTTAAGTAGTATGCTATTTTTTATGAAAATTTTGAAAATGTATTTAAAAGTAAAATATTGTGAAGTGAACAAAAAAAGCAATTTACACATTGCATAATTATGGCATTAAAAAAAATGAAAATTATCAAAAATAGGTCAGAACGTCCAAAACAAAGCCCTAACTGTGTTAGTCACGCAGTAGAAATATGGTGATAAATATTGCAAATTTAGTTATTAATTGCATATAATGTGTAAATTATTTTTTGAATTGTCAATAATTAAAAGGTTTTTACTTTCTGTCAATCTTTGTACACTTTTCTCAAGGTTGATTTTCTTGAAATATTTTTTGCTCATCTGGAGGCATGCAGCTTTAAAGATTAGGGAATGGAATTTTTATAACTTTCTTTGTTTTGATTTTGTACCATTTGATGACTAGGTTGTGGGCAAAATTTTAAAGCCATTAAAATTTGCTCATTCAGATTTTCCAGAACAATAATTTTGATGGACCAAAAATTGAAAAGTTTTGAAATGCTTTTAAAATTGCCAGAGGCTAGCAAACTTATAATCTTATTCAACGCAAGTGAATAACTAAAGACTAAACCAAAGTATGATGGCAACACTGACACAGGGATGAGTGCAATAGCTCTCCTTAGTCTTGGAATGGTCAAGCTAAAAATTATCTTTTATGAATAGTCAAGCTTAAAAATTATCTTTTATGGGAACAAAAGGAACACTCACAGTCAATCTCAAAAATCATATTCTTATGGCATCAAGGAATAGTCAAGATTCAAAATTATCTTTTATGGCAACATAAAGGAACAGTCAAGCTCAAAAAGTATCTTCTACGCTCAAAAAGTATCTTCTATATAAAGGAATATAAGTCAAGCTCAAAAATTATATTTTATGGCAAATGGTTTGTTTTGATATTTATCCTCATGAAAGCTTAAGTCGAAACATTGATAAATAACAACTAATAAAAAATTGTTGTATTTTATTTTTCTATCCTCAATGTTATCATAAAGAAAAAGTTAAGCTAAAAATAATCTTTTTATGGTGTTACATAAAAAGGAGAATCGTAATATATCACAAATTAACCCAATCATTGCACTTATTGTCAGGCTGTTTACTCTCTGTAAGTTGTTGACATTTCTTGTAATCTGTGCTTCTGGTACAGTAACTTGATATAATGCGGTATGAAAAATTTTATCATTAAAACTTCTAAATGTAGTAGTACAATTTGATATATGACATTATAAAGTTAATCATTAAAATTTTATATAGCAAAATTTATTACAAATCTGATATGTGATACAAGAGATATAGTCTCATTAAAAAAAGAAAAAAACATCTAATGCCAAAGACCTTGGGTATGTATTTTTGTAATTTCGAATCTCAAGATTTCAAGTTATAATTGTTCACAGTTCAGAAGACCTTTCATTTATATAATCCAGTGGTTCCAAACCTACATATATTCTATTTAAGGCTTATTATGCCTCAGAAAAACGGTAAGTTAAAGCTCAATAGGTAGGGCTTTAGGTCTGTGAATCAAGTGGCACGGATTCGATTCCTGGACGGTTCACTTGGTCACTTTCGTTGTGATAATCAAACTTTTCTATGGTCATTCAAACTGTATCCCTGCTCTGGCATGTACAGAAGTTTCAGTTCCTTATGAAAGTAAAGGCAACAACAACTGGTAAACTGCCTGACAGCCTGCCCAGCAATCATGCAGAGGCTGATCTGTGCTCTAGTAAATTCACTGTTATGTGACTTACTGCCGTGATCTGGAGAAAAAACTACCAACACCACCACAAAATTATGCCTCAGAAACAAAGATTTTTTTACTTTTTTTTCAAGAAAGGACAAATTTGAGTTTTATACTGTTTAAAATTTAAGAATGGTTTTAGTTAATGTTAAATATTTGTTACCTGAAGAAAGTAGTGATAAAATTTGAAATAATTTGTCATAAAAGTAGCAAAATGCTAACAAAGAAGTACATGTATTTTGACTACAAAATTCACTGAAAGTGTACTTATTGCCATAAAGCAACAAATAAAAACAATAGTTCAGGTCAATGGCCAGTAAGTAACTTTTTAGATACTATAAAAGTATACCAAAATAAAAAAAGGTTTTGAGAAATGAAAACAAAAGCATTTCTGAGTCATTATTATAAATGGGCCTTTAAAAGAGACATTTTTCTTACACTACCATTTCTCTAAAACTTCATGAATTGATCCCACTTTACTTGACACTACCATATTTTCTCTTATTAATGACTCAACTTCTTTTGACACTTTCAAAACTTGTCCTGTAACTGGACCAATTCTGTTCTTGTAAAAATATTATAAGAGCACTGCATGCAGCGTTTAAGCTTGTCTGTTATAAATTCTTAAGTTAAACAGGGGGCATAACTCCAGAAATATTGCTTTCAAAACTATGCCTTTTGTTTTACAACTGCACCTTGTCATGATATGAAATTATTCCCAGTTTCACGTTGATAACTTTCAAAATGTTCGAATAATGTTTAAGTTGTTGATATATTTTTTTGGTCCTTCAGGATCATTGATTACAACACTTTTAAGTGCTAAAAATTGAGTACCACTCAAGCTGGTGCTAGGGGGCGGGAGGGATGTTGCACTTATTCATTATTCCTCATGTACACACTCAATCAAATGTAGTCTGCAATTTTCAAGTAATTTTGTTATGATTAATTTTCCGGAGGGATCACACTTTATCCAGATTTTTTTGCATGACAACAACAACAATGATGCCACAGTGATAATAATTCCGCAATTCTTTCCTTGAAACAGACATGCTATAAAAACTAACCTGATATATCAAACTTTGCAGTCTGGATATCTTCAAACAAATTATCTCCCTTTACATTAGGTATAATACACTCAAGCTGACTGAGAACAGCTTCATCTCTTGGAGTTATCTTTCCTGCTTCTGGTGATCTATTTATAGTATCAACCAATATTGTACCTGTAAAAAGATAAGAGGTTCATTAAAATCATGCCAATTAAGCAAAAAGATAACATTTGACAGTCATATTTCCATATCATGTATCATTTATATTATTGAAGAGATGCCATTTTGTCATTAAATATATTATCAATTACAATTGAATATATATTATTAGTTATTGAATAGATATATTTTGTTATTTAATAATTTCTTATTGAATATAATTATATCATTTGTAATTGAATATATATCAATTGAAATTGAATATATATTATATATGTTTTGTTATTGAATAGATATATTTTATTTTTGAATAAATATCTTTTGATATTGAATAGACATCATTTGTTATTGAATAGATATCATTTATTATTGAAGAGGCATCATTTGTTATTGAATAGACATCATTTGGTATTGAATAGATATTATTTGTTATTGAATAGATATTGTGTTATCACATACATGTCTATATCATCTATATATCATCTGTAACTGAATAGATGCCATGGTGTTCTTGAATTTTGTAATTTTGTAACTTAATAGATATCATTTGTTATTGAAAATATATCTTTTGTTATTGAATAGATATCATTTGTTATTGAATAATCATTTATTATTTTGTTCTGAAGAGATACCATTTTGAATCCATAATTCCTTTTGTTTCCACAAAGAATATTATGCGTTATTGAATAAGACATTATTTGCATTCGAATAATTTTTCTTCTTCCCTTTTACAGACAATCAACAGAAACAGAGAGAGTCTGACATTTTCCCAACACTCCATCACTGGCATGCGTAATAAATCAGATTATCTCAAATCTACATGCAAAACAACAATTTGTTTCCAAGCGCTTGGTAAATCACTTTTAAATGACAAACAAATGTAGCTAATTAATGGATCTGCAGAAAACGAGTGAAATTAAAATCAGATTTTATTCTTCTGACAATTTCAGAGATGCTTTGTCATTTGAGATTTAAATCTCTTAATGAGGGCTAACAATAAATTTTAAATTAAATTGATTAGGTCTTAGGAATTTATGCCGGTTTTAGACTCTCAATTCAAAATGTTTTACAATGGATGAATTAAAGTATTTATAAATAGGTTAATTATTTTATATACCAATTTTTTTTTGGTTGGGATTTAAATTGCAAGGAGACTTATAATAATAATCTTTAAAGGTGACTTCTCAGCATTACTTGTGGATCTGGTGCCCTCCTTGCATTATTTCAGGCACAAACGGGCACCCGAGGCATTCAAATTCACATCTTATACTTCCATGTAATTTATTATTACTAATCTATAAATAGTTGCTTTGAAATGACTTTCTCTGATTGGTTTAATTGCACAGGAGTGTAATAAAGCCATTTAATAAAAGCAATTGTGTGATTCTTAGCCCATTTGGAAAGAAATTAGTGTTGCAACACTTTTCATTTTTTTTGATATTTTGCACAATAACAAGAGCTGTCTCTAGGACAGCATGCTCGACTATTCTTAGTGCTTGATAGTAACCTTGATAATGTAAAAGTTAACAAAAGAGGTAATTTTTTCTTTAAATCCATGTTACAGTTAGAGACCTCGGAGTTAGTCCTATTATGCTCCCAAGGATCTCAAGGAAGTGTATGAAATTTCAACTTATTTCAAAGCCAGATGTCAATGGAATATGAAATGGAATATGAAAATATCTGAGATGGTTTGCAAATGTTGTGTACACCTTTGGGGCATGATGGTGAACAAATATGCAAAGTTTCAAAGCCCGATGTCAATATTTGAAGTGTTACAAAAACTTTAACGTAAATTTTAAGTCGAAAAAGGACATAATTCTCTCAAAATGCTTGATAGATTTACCTCCTCCTGACAACAGGTTGGGGTCATGATGGTGAACAAGTGTGCAAAGTTTCATAGCCATATGTCAATGAACTTTGAAAATATTTGAGGTGTAACAAAAAAAATTAACGTATTAAGTGGTTACACAGACACCAACACAGATGCTCAAGTGACTAGGATCGCTCTTCTTATTCTTATCAAATAGTCGAGCTAAAAATGATGATTCTGAAAAAAAATACTTCCAGCAGTCATGTCAAAAAAACCTTGGTTGAGTCCCTTTAACAGACAAAATATTATGTAAGCCATTTTAAACAACATGAAATTTTAATATATTCAAGTAAGTCGATACATTTACTTGCACTTAACAGGTTTTTTATTACCATAAAACTCCAGTGCAATTGGGTCTTTCTTTTACAGAGTCAAAGAATTGATTATATCACCTTACATAACCATTTCCAGCAACAAAATGCATCATCAGCATTTTTCAATGCTTAAAGGAACTCCACTGAGGTCCAAAAATCTAAAAACATAAAAATTGGAAGTTTAATTTACATAGATCATTCTTTAAGACTATGTGGCTCTTAAAATGGAAAGATCCATGTAAATTCATGTTAGAGTTATGGGCCATGGGCAGTGACCCAAATATTTAACCAAAAGTGTGACGTCACTGATGCTAACATGGAAGCTGGGAATGAAAACACTACTCTCTTCGAAAAGTGGAGCTAAATACATAGAACACCAACTGAAAACAACAATTTTCAAACTCAATACATTTTTTATTGTTTGTTACAATTTTCTCCCATCTAAAGACAGCTCTGTAAAAGTACTCTTTAGGAACAATAAATGGGTTCACACATTTGTACACAATTTCTCCTGTTTTATACAGTACAACATAATGAATATTTAACGAGAATGTTTAATGAAAACTGCATTAAACACTTGTGTGAGCAGGATAAAGGAAAGTTCATGGTTTTCTACAATCCATATTGTGAAAAGGAATAACAAATGCTTTCCAAGTAATCCTATGGGAGACTTAAAAGAGGGAGTGCCATACCAAACGATTAGAGTGTATAAGAGATGACTGGTATGGTTTGAGGTGAAGTAGAGATGTTTTTTTACATACCCACTGGGTAGAAGAGATGTGGTATGGTTGAAAGTGAAGTAGAGGTATGGTTTAAGATAATGTAAAGATGTGATATGGTTTAAGGTGAAGTAGAGATGTGGTATGGTTTAAGGTAAAGTAGAGATGTGGTATGGTTTAAGGTAAGGTAGAAATGTGGTATGGTTTAAGGGGTGAAAGAGATGTGGTATGGTCTAAGGTGAAGAAGAGATGTGGTATGGTTATAGGTGAAGTAAAGATGTGGTATGGTTTAAGGGGTGATAGAGATGTGGTATGGTTGCAGGTGAAGAAGAGATGTGGTATGGTTATAGGTGAAGTAAAGATGTGGTATGGTTTAAGGGGTGATAGAGATGTGGTATGGTTGCAGGTGAAGTAGACATGTGGTATGGTTTAAGGTAATGTAGAGATGTGGTATGGTTTAAGGTGAAGTAGAGATGTGGTATGGTTTAAGGTGAAGTAGAGAAGTGGTATGGTTTAAGGTGTAGTAGAGATGTGGTATGGTTTAAGGTGAAGTGGAGATGTGGTATGGTTACAGGTGAAGTAGAGATGTGGTATGGTTTAAGGTGAAGTAGAGATGTGGTATGGTTTAAGGTAAAGTAGAGATGTGGTATGGTTTAAAGTGAGGTAGAGATGTGGTATGGTTTAAGGTGAAGTGGTATGGTTTAAGGTAAAGTAGAGATGTGGTATGGTTTAAGGTAAAGTAGAGATGTGGTATGGTTTAAGGTAAAGTAGAGATATGGTATGGTTTAAGGTAAAGTAGAGACGTGGTATGATTTAAGGTGAAGTAGAGAAATGGTATGGTTTAAGGTAAAGTAGAGATGTGGTATGGTTTAAGGTGAAGTACAGATGTGGTATGGTTTAAGGTGAAGAAGAGATGTGGTATGGTTTAAGGTGAAGTAGAGATGTGGTATGGTTTAAGGTGAAGTAGAGATGTGGTATGGTTTAAAGTAAAGTAGAGATGTGGTATGGTTTAAGGTAAAGTAGAGATGTGGTATGGTTTAAGGTGAAGTGGAGATGTGGTATGGTTACAGGTGAAGTAGAGATGTGGTATGGTTTAAGGTGAAGTAGAGATGTGGTATGGTTTCAGATGAAGAAGAATGTGGTATGGTTGCAGGTGAATAAGAGAGGTTGGGTTGTTTGGGGTGGAAATTATTAGAGATTTGGTATAATTGAAGAATGAAGTTAAAGGTGGCGTAAAAAGGAATGGAAATGGAAAAGAGTTGGACTGGATTTTCATGAAGAATATAAGGAGTTACAAGTGGACAGTTTATTTGTTTGTTTCTCTGATTGTTACACCAATTTAAACACAAATACTTGGCAATATTTTTTTAGTCAATAATGAAGCGCAGTGTCTGTAGCATGAGATAACATCTCTCTGACACAGAAAAAGAAACATGACCGAAATTCAGAAAAAGAAGTCAATATTAATTTTCTAGACAATGTTTTGTCTTAATCTTCTACAACAACACTGTGCATTAAAGGCAAAAAGATGAGCGAATTTCTAATTCACAAAACGAATAGTGAAAACATCGGGAACTAAAAGCGTGTGAGATGTTTCTTCAATGTAAAATTACAGTCAACAGAAACAGAATCAGGTGTCAGTTTTGAGAGCTTCTTTAAGGCGAAAAATGTGTCTTTCCCTGAGGCTTTAATATAACAAAACAATCTGTTTTTCTCTCAAGCTTAAAAATAACAAAAATGGTATATGTTTTTCTCTAAAGCTTCCATGCAACAAATAATAACAAAACTATTTGTGTTTTAGTTTGTTTTACTTTAGAACAAGAAAGAGCTTTAGATATGAAAGCATGCTTGACTATTCTTAGTGCTTAATAGAAAAAAAAGCCTCTGGTTAATGTAGAATTTCTTTAGATCAAAAGGGGCCATAATTCTGTCACAATCTATTTTAGAGTTAAGTGCCTTGGATTGTTTATTTTGTTGGATTTTAAATCATATCAACACTGTAATGAACATATGGCGACCTTCCAGCTTTACTGGTGGAGGAGAACCTTTAATAAGGCACCCCTTTGAGCAATATTTCAGGAATAAACCGGACCCTAGTAGAATCAGCCTGCT